GTATCCAGACTATTAGTTTCTTGCACTCCGACTTCAAAGGAAGCTCCCAATTAGTCGACTCTTACGACATTAGTCGACTCTTACGACATGCTTTGGGTAGGTAGTGGGTCTATTCTTGTTTTCCATAAAATAGGGCCCTGGATTCCACACAGGGAAGACCAAAGAATTTGAATTCTCCAATTAGCTTGGGGTGCCTGAGAGGTTTGAATTTCAAACTGTTTATTTCTAAAGGAGTTTTCTCAATGTATAAACCCAAAGCTCTAAATGTCCTAGGGGCTAAGGGTGCAGGAGGACCTAGGTATTGGAAACTAGACAGTAGAGTCAGTGGGTACAGGTGCATTGGTTCTCTCAGGTCGAGTACTGTGATCATATTGCAACCTGAGCATACGAAACAAGTTGTGAGCGTCCCGAAGGAGAATGTATCGGTTGCTAGAAGGGCGTAAGTGTACGAGCCGGAGGCCCTCACTGAGGATCGATATCTCAGATGTGGACAGAGGGAGGTCTGGAGGTATACAGACCACCCCGTTGTCAGCGCCTGCGGGAAGTGGGGAGGAGGAGAGTGCAGGTGTGGTGGGATGGAATTTGGTCAACTTATTGTGCTTGGCAGAGAACAGGCAACAAAATAAATGGTGGTTTGGGCTGTTGATAATACACTGTATAACACAATAAAGAAAATAAATATTAGAAGTTAATTGGAATAAATGTCTATCCAGGTAGGTGATGCGTGATCTGCGCTCGGAAACTGGTGCACGTGATTGTCAGCAATACAGCGCATGTGCAGAGTGGCACATCTCACCTCAATCTGGGATATGAATTTACTGCAGCCAACATGGAGGGTCCCCACTGAGGGGTGAACATTGGTAGTAAAACCACGTGGGACCACTTTAAACAGTTTCTGAGAAAATCTGAGAGGCAATGAACCAATAATCTGCATACATATTAATCAGATCTGTAAAACGGATGTGATCACATCACTCAGGTTCTGAAAAAAGACTTAAGTCCACAGGTGGACAAACAATCAGAACTTCTCGCTGGAGTTTACAGCTGGTGAACGTGAAAAAGAGGAAGATTACACAATATTTTAATTTTTTTTTTAAATACATGGATACCATGTGTAAGTAAACAAACTCTAATCATGAAGAAGATACTACACAATTACAAGTTGCCGACGAATAGCAGGTACTCATAGCAGAAAGTACGGAATGCCTACAAAACCACCTAAATCAAATTAATAACAAAGAGGAGGAATATAATATAAAAATAAACACTACGAAGACAAAGGCAATGGTGACAGGAAGACAGAAAGACAATTTAGAAATACAATTAAAAAACAACATCTCAAGACAAACAGAGGAATTCAAGTATTTGGGAGAAAATTTTCACATCCAAGGAAAACTGGACAGAGAAACTAGCTCGAGATGTGCCAAAGGAATAAAGCCAGTCTTACAGGTCATTAAAGAACACATGAAGTGGTTTGAACACCTAACAAGAATGGCCTAGTACTATCTGCCACAGCAAGCCAAATTGAAATGTTACAATGGGTATTAAGTGAGTGGAAGACCTTGGAAAAGATGGAGGGATGGCACCAAGAACAGCCTTACAGAAATGATCATCAATCTTAACAGAGCTCATCAACGAATGTTACATGTCCCCCCCCCCCCCCCCCCCCCCCCCCCCCCCCACTGAGGTTCAAGGTGGAAGAGAAGAAGAAGAAGAAGAAGAAGAAGAAGAAGAAGAAGAAGAAGAAAGAAGAAGAAGAAGAAGAATTAAAAACAAAAACAAAAGTATAATTTTACATAACTGCAATCTTTGGCACACAATGACTTGCTTCCTTCTATGTCTTACCCTGTATTCTTCCGTCAAAGAAGACGGTGCCTCCTGTACTTGTAGATCAGTCAAATGCACGTGGACACAGATTATCTTGATTTGTTGCATTATGGACACAAAACTTTTAAAAATGGTACCATTTGCAATTTATTTAACTGACAAGGACTTTCAGTTTCAATTTTTTTTCCTCTTCTTATTAAAGTGACCACAATATGATAAGCTTTCATTGGGTCCATGCCCCTTTCAAAATATTTTATATTCTCATGCTTTCAAAAAATATCAAGTATTATACACGCAGTCTGCATTTTTAACCTTTCTTTGAGAGAAAAAAATATATTTTAGTTAAAATATATGACACACACAAAATGGAATAGTTTAAAATCTGGCAATAATATAATGGTTCAGAATGGAACAAAAACAGGAAACGGTAATTAAACCTATGGTTTCACCTGACTTAAAATGTAGTGTGAAACAACAAAACAGAAAAAAAAATATCTTCACCCACAAACAATGACACACAACCAAAGAATAATAATGCTGGCTTTAAATGTTCCATAATTTTAAAATTAGTAGCTAATGCAGATGATCACGCTCAGCTAACATAAATGGTGCACATTTCATGATGGGAGTCACCGTGGTGTAGTTGCTAGATGCTCGCCTGCAAACTGGAAGGTTGTGGGTTTGGGTCCTGGTGGAGCCAGACTCTCTTAAAAAGTGACCTGAGCTCCTAGGTCGACTAAGTCTTGAGTGGGTACTAGGTGCAGTCCTGGGAAGTAAAGGTGGCCTGTGTGACACTGACCACATCACCCACCAATTGCCAAGTGGTCTATAAGATATAAGTCCAATAGGCCTGAAGGTGTGGAAAAGGCTCCTTTCCTTGACTCGACATTTTTCATTATGATGTCAACCAGATGTGAATGAATGAAAAGATATTCTTCCTAATCTGGTTATGGGAAATTTTTTTCTCAAAAAATACACCGGTCTCTCAGGTCAGGAACTTAATTCGTTCTTTGACTCCCTTCGAGAGCTGAAATGTTCATGAACTGAAACACTTTTTCACCATAAAAACTGATCCAATTAATCTGTTTGTCTGCCCCAGAAACATATTGTTACGGTACAACTTTACCTTTGTGGCTGATAATGGGCTAGCACAGGTAAATGGCAGAGGAGGAAGACTAACTCTACAGAGGAGAGTCCCACTGCATAATAATCTTGGGTGACTGTATTTATTTGGACTTATTTCTAGAAGGTTGTGAAATACAAGTTATATTTTGAACTGATGTTTTAGTTGTTCCTTTGCCATTCGCAAGAGCCACCATAGTGCAGCATCTAGTACGCATCCCTACCAGCCTAATGGTAATGTATTTAGAATCCCAGTGAAGCAGGTATCTTATTTCATTGTCCAGGGCTCTTACATACAAGTATGTATATTTTAAAATACATTTCCACCAATAAATCTAAACAACACAATTTTTTTTTGTTAAATGTCACTAAAACAGGTCATTTCTAACTCATCATTATCATCCTGCACCCTGCCAGTTGGCGTAAGCGCTCATGCATCTCCACAGACCACGATCTCTGGAACAGCTCTCTCTTGATGATATCCCTCCATGCCATCGTTTCAGCCCATCCAGCATCATCTCTCTAAGTCTGCCTCTACCCCTCTTTCCACTGATCTTTTCAGTTGTCACAATGTTTTCCAATGCCTCTCTTCTCATTACCTGGCCAGAGAACAGTGTTTGTCTCCTTCTTATTGTTGTATAATGAGTATTAACTTTTATTAGCTTCTTTTAAACAATCGTTGTAAGTTACTTTGGTCGTCGAAGGTATTCGTAACACTAGTCTCAGAAACCACATCTCTGTTGCTTCCAAATTCTTATTAATTTGTTCACTGACATTCCAAGATTGGCTGCCGTACAGCAGAACAGGTTCTATGTAACATTTTAGAACTCTCTTTCTGACATTAAATGAGGGCGACTTATTGCATGATTGTTTCCAGATTTTTTAATTTACTGACTCGGTTAAGCCTTTTCCTTCAATTGAGATATCACAATGTGTGATGTTATCTTCTTCCTTGATATAACCATTACTTCTGTTTTCTTAATATTCAAGAAAAGTCCTTTCTTAGCACTCTCCATCCCCACAATATCCAGCAGTTGTTGTAACTCAGTTGCAGTATCAGCTATTAAAACTGTACTGTCTGTGTAATGCAAATTGTTTATATTGTATCCTCCCATTTTTATTCCTGCTTTTTCTTTAATTTCCCTCAAAATTACTTCACTGTATAGAGAGAAAAGGTCTGGGGATAAGACACACCTCTTTCTTACTATTTGCTTTATCGGTTCAAGCGTACCCGATCTGTTTCCCACTTTAACTGCTGCTACTTGGTTCCAGTAAATATTTTTAATTATTCTGAGATCTTTCCCGTCTACATTGATGTCTTCCAACATTTTTATCATCTCCTCATGTTTAACTTTGTCAAATGCTTTCGTATAATCTATAAAGCATAAATATAAGTCCTTTTGTATGTCCAGTGACCTTTCTGTCAATGTTCATAATATGTATATTGCATTGCTTGTCCCTCTACCTTCTATAAATCCATACTGCTCTTCATTTCCATTTTTATTCGTGTTCTCATTATAATTCTAAGTAGTAATTTGGTGACATAATTTATTAAATAGATTGTACAAAATTCTTCACACTCAATTGCTCTTGGCCTTTTGGGTAACGCAATAAATACAGATTTCATCATATCACTTGGTATGTAACCAGTGTTATAAATGTTATCCATTAGTTTACTCAATATTTGTACCCCAAATTCTCCCAGTACTTCTAATTCTTCTGAAATTTTATCTGGCCTGGCTGACATTACTTTCTTCATAAGTTTAATAGCATTGCTGACTTCTTCCTTTAGTCCCCTCTAACTTCAGTAAAAAAAAAAAATATGTTACGATCTGGTCAACTTTACTTACATAGTAAATAAAATAAAAGACTAAGAGTCTGTGACATGCTAATGCAATCAACGCTGTTTCTGATCTTTCAATTCTATTAAAGACTTATTATTATTTTGTTTTAATTAACAAAATATGCCATTTTAACTATAGTGTAAAAAAAAAAAAAAAGACACAACACAATCCAGTCAAGTTTGACAGCATGATAAAGAAAATGAAAGACTAAGAATCCATAACATGCTGTTGCTGTGAATGCTGTTTCTGAGCTACCAGTTCTGCAATTATAGATGGATCCAAGCAATCCTGCCGTTGTAAAAATGGGTGCCTCTGTTCAGATTGTTAAAAAAAAAAAAGAGTTTAGACAATATGATAATGAAATAAGTTCGATCCTAAAAGCAGATATAAAAATCTGCCAACTCCTGAGACTAAATTCAGTTATCAAAAAGTTTCACAAAAGAAGACAAGAATGCACACCATGTTAAATTTTGCAGTGCTGTCTTATCAGTATATGAAGTGAATAAACCCCCTATCAACTAGCTGTGTATGGGAACAGTCAGTAGAACTATCTTGGGATGGCTGCTGCATCAGCAGACTGAACATGTATGGGAACAGTCAGTAGAACTATCTTGGGATGGCTGCTGCATCAACAGACTGAACATGTATGGGAACAGTCAGTAGAACCATCTTGGGATGGCTGCTGCATCAGCAGACTGAACATGTTTGGGAACAGTCAGTAGAACTATCTTGGGGTGGCTGCTGTATCAGCAGACTGAACATGTATAGGAACAGTCAGTAGAACCATCTTGGGATGGCTGCTGCATCAGCACACTGAACATGTTTGGGAATAGTCAGTAGAACCATCTTGGGATGGCAGCTGCCTCAGCAGACTGAACATGTATGGGAATAGTCAGTAGGACCATCTTGGGATGGCTGCTGCCTCAGCAGACTGAACATGTATGGGAATAGTCAGTAGAACTATATTGGGATGGCTGCTGCCTCAGCAGACTGAACATGTATGGGAACAGTCAGTAGAACCATCTTGGGATGGCTGCTGCATCAGCAAACTGAACATGTTTGGGAACAGTCAGTAGAACCATCTTGGGATGGCAGCTGCCTCAGCAGACTGAACATGTATGGGAATAGTCAGTAGAACCATCTTGGGATGGCTGCTGCCTCAGCAGACTGAACATGTATTTGAATAGTCAGTAGAACCATCTTGGGATGGCTGCTGCCTCAGCAGACTGAACATGTATGGGAACAGTCAGTAGAACCATCTTGGGATGACTGCTGCATCAGCAGACTGAACATGTTTGGGAACAGTCAGTAGAACTATCTTGGGATGGCTGCTGCATCAGCAGACTGAACATGTATAGGAACAGTCAGTAGAACCATCTTGGGATGGCTGCTGCATCAGCAGACTGAACATGTATGGGAACAGTCAGTAGAACTATATTGGGATGGCTGCTGCCTCAACAGACTGAACATGTATGGGAACAGTCAGTAGAACCATCTTGGGATGGCTGCTGCATCAGTAGACTGAACATGTATGGGAACAGTCAGTAGAACCATCTTGAGATGGCTGCTGCCTCAGCAGACTGAACATGTATGGGAACAGACAGTAGAACCATCTTGGGATGGCTGCTGCCTCAGCAGACTGAACATGTATGGGAACAGACAGTAGAACTATCTTGGGATGGCTGCTGCATCAGTAGACTGAACATGTATGGGAACAGACAGTAGAACCATCTTGGGATGGCTGCTGCCTCAGTAGACTGAACATGTATGGGAACAGACAGTAGAACTATCTTGGGATGGCTGCTGCATCAGTAGACTGAACATGTATGGGAACAGTCAGTAGAACCATCTTGAGATGGCTGCTGCCACAGCAGACTGAACATGCACGGGCATACCCAATGTCCAGTGACACAGATAGTGATTACAAAAAATATATTTGGCTATTTTAACATGCCAACTGGTGGCTGAAAGTTTTTGCAAACTTAGTATTTATTTTACAGTGGAGAAATGCTGAAAGCATATTTGATTATCTGGCTATCCTCCAAATAACGGCCACATGTTATGGCTGCCAAAACAGGGCCTCAGTCACATGTAAATTGCAGACTTCTGGCGACTTAATTTACGGACTTCCGGCGACTACTGCCACCGCTGAGAGTATCTCCCGTGCCACTACGTGCGGCGCAAAGTGGGGCTAAACTAGATGGCTGGAACTCACGAGCAAACCTGCAGGAGATGCGGAAACTGCTGCTCGTGAGTCCCAGCCATCTAGTTTAGCCCAGCTTAGCGCAGCAGCGCAAGAGATACTCTCAGCGGTGGCAGTAGTCGCTAGAAATCAGCAGTTTAGGTTGCCGGAAAGTCCGCAATTTACATGTGACTGAGGCCCTGTCAGGTTTTTTTTTTTTTTGCCCACCATAATATGTGGACGGTACTCTGAGGATTGCCGATTATCTTAGTTAACCAAGTACCTTACCTTTTACTTAATTCTTCTTGATTAATTTGAATTTCCCTCACTTATTTTGCCTTAACTATGTTGCTTTGTGTCATTTATCCTTTTGTCTTGTTTTTTTTTTTTTTGTTATCTATTTGGCTCATGCGTGGCAGTCACCACAATGTCCTCAATTTTCCGTACAGGTGTATTTGTAAAGTTTTCTAGACTTCATGTTTTTCCTGTTGTATACTTTTACAGTTTTAGCAGTTAATCCATATACTAGGACATATTGCTCTCTACAGTCTATATTGTGTATCAGCCAAAATATAGCAAAGCCCTGCATGACTGGGGGAGCCGCCTTGGTCTAGCGGCTAGACACTCACCTGCGGATTGTGTTCGGTTCCTGACAAGGGCCAAACCTTTTTTTTTTTAAAACGACCATGGCTCCCAGATCAACCAAGCCTTGAGTAAAGGTGGCCAGCGTAACGCTGACCACATCACCCACCAAGAACCATTTGGTCTATAAAATATAGGTCTAGCCCTATATACCCAACTTGCCTAAAAGGCGTGGAAAAGTTCCTTTACTTTTACTTTACTGCTTGACTGGATTAAAATGACAACCATGGTTGGATTTGCATAACTAAACTTCTACTGCTCGAATCAGGTGCTACTGGAGCTGATCGGTTTATGATTTAATGGTTTTAGCAAAAAGTTCTTACAAATAGTCTGGTGCAATGTTTTGTAATGAAACGGTTTAAAATATATCATTTTTGTTTAAACCTCAAAATCCTCTTTTATGGGCTTACATCAGTGATAATAATAACTATCTTCTGTAAAACAAATGGCAGGTAAGATAAGTCTTTCCCCTCAACAAAAAGGGGCAAGTACTACAAGTGACAGCCATAAATATGCAAATAATAAAGGTGGTACCAGTGCTACAAGTGCTGCAATAATTTAAATATCCAGGGAGATATCATGCTCTCTAGAGTTCAGGACAGTCTGAGACAGTTCCAGAAGTTCATCACTAGAGTTTAGTGGAGTTTGAGGCCTTTTGAGATAGCTATTTACTGACAGAATTAGAACTAATTAGTCACAAGTTGAAATTCATACTTTCACCAATGATATGCTTTCATGCTGAAGAACTTATTGTAATTTATAAATAAATAAAAATACTCTAACAAATATTACAGTAGCAAAGAGGATGACTGCATTCTAAACTAAGGGATTCTGTTGATTGTAAATTGTATTATGGAACAATTAATTTTGTTCTGCAGCCCCCATACGTTTGCTGACTACCAAATGGGGAGGGAAGACTGGTCTATGGTATTGGATGTTATGTTTGTCCAGTTTTCTGCCAAGCATATTGTAAATTATTTTTGATACGTTTCTTTTTCCATATCTTATTTATCAGGTTCTCGGTTATCATCTCTTCAAGCATGCACCTGCTTTGATCCCGTTAACCCTGGCTGTTATCATTCAATTTTCCAGTTTAACCCTTTTTGTTACATGTTCTTTTAAAATTTCTACATTAATATTTTTATCTGCTAAAATTTAGGCAACTACTATTAATAAACCTTAGAACTGCTACAGTCAGTTATAGAAATCCATCTCTTCTTTAAAAACTCACTTGTAAATCTTGTCCTAATAAACGCAAAGATGGAGTTTTGTGTAAACTGTGGAAAAGACATGCATAAAACATTAACATACCTGTGTATGAGGTTGATTTTAAGTACTTAATAATATAAATACTTCATATGTATATTTTAATGACCTAAATAAATACATAAAGATAACACAGAATGGAATTGAAATTATCCACCTGCACACTTAAGACAGTACATACGTGTGAGTATGAGGTAGGCAGAGGTGTGTGTGTGTGTATGTGTGTGTGTGTGTGTGTGTGTGTAGAGATACATAAGCCAACAAAGGCAAAAAATTATGTAAATTCTGTTACCCACCTAGCCAATTATGATTCTGCTGTATTCTCTTTTGATAAAGACCATGGTTAAAATGTGTTGCTGTATCTGAGCATATTATTTCCGTTCACTCAAATGAACATTCTAGTAATAGTCTGTAGTGCGTTAAGGTATTTAAAGAAAAATATATTTTGGAGGTTTATAAAAAAAAAAGTACATAACAAAAGATTTATAATTTATATGAAAGTGCAAAGAAATGATAAAAAGGAAATAGCTATTTTATTAAAAACTAAGCTGTAAAACAACATAAATCACTTTAAATTAACTTATGTAGAAAACATTTGAAATTGTTAATGCAACATATAAATTACGATATGTCAGTATATTATATATATGACTAAAACTTCCTCTGAGCACTCAAATTTCATACTCTGAAACTGGAATTTCTCAAGTTTATCTGGCCTGCTGAACAGGTTTTGTGATTACTTTCGGCAATGTAGTATATATAGGGGACACACACACACTCTCTCTCTCTCTTTCTCTGTGTGCACACGCACGCTCATAAATGCCTACAGACATTCTTGCACACACATATATATATATTTAAAAAATGTCATTTTGGACCACAATATTATTTCCCTTTTTTCTTTGCTTTCACTGGATGTAAACTCTGGTGGAATATTCTGGTTATAAATTATCTGTCTACTTCTGGACTTTACTTGTATTCCAGTATTAGAGTTTTGCATGCACTTCGTTTACTTGGAATCAAATCAACCAGTTAGTGGGTCTAGCACTATATAAGCACATGTGAATATCAACATGCAGTTACAATCGATTTCGCTGGATGAGATTCTCAGTTCTAATTATTCTTGCTGTTCTTCTTTTCCTTCTCCATTTTCTTTCTCTTTCATCTCTACTCTTCTGTCTCTTTCCTCTTCATTCTATGGTTGCCTCTTTGATTATTTGTGATTATTTGTATGCAGACTGTTCATTCCTTGCCTCTCCACAGATGCTCTCCCACTTTGAAGGAAACATAACTAATAAGTCGACTTTTATTATATGCTTGTTGGGGGAGGGGGGAGGGGATCTATATAATGGGACTCCTGGAAATCCACATGGGAATATGTTATGTAAAATCTCACCATTTATTGACGAAATCAATGAGTTCTTGTGAAAATTGATCAGCTGGGAGTTTCAGATGTGGCTGCAAAAATGGAACAGATTGATTTTAAACATTTAAACAATACAAACTGTATGAGACAGTATACAGATTTAAAGTAAAGTAAATGACCCTTTTCCATGCCTTTAAGAGTTTGGGGCATATCTGGCTTGACCTACATTTTATAGACCAATCAGCACTCAGTGGATGATGTGGTCAGCATCATGCCAGCCATCTTTACTTTCCAGGACTTTACCTGGTACACACTCAAGGCTGGGTCAACCTGGGAGCCAAGGTTATTTCTGAAAAAAGTCTGGCTCCACCAGGACCTGAACCCACAACCTTCCGATCCGCAGGTGAGTGTCTAGCTGCTACACCATGCAACCAACAATAAATAATAAATGTTATGACAATCAGGCAACACTGACACACAGATTATATTAAAATAATAAATGTTATGACAATCAGGCATCACTGACACACAGATTATATTAAAATAATAAATGTTATGACAATCAGGCATCACTGACACACAGATTATATTAAAATAATAAATGTTATGACAATCAGGCAACACTAACACACAGGTTATATTAAAATAATAAATGTTATGACAATCAGGCAACACTAACACACAGATTATATTAAAATAATAAATGTTATGACAATCAGGCAACACTGACACACAGATTATATTGAAATAATAAATGTTATGACAATCAGGCAACACTAACACACTGATTATATTAAAATAATAAATGTTATGACAATCAGGCAACACTGACACACAGATTATATTAAAATAATAAAAGGTGGCTAATAAATATGTCCAGTAGTGCAATGGCTAGATGCTTGCCCTAAGGCCATAGGTTTGAATCTGCACCGCACAACTTTGTGAAGAAAAAAAAAACTGACAATGGTTTTCAGACTGATCCTTCCTATAAATGGGTACCAGGATACTGACCACCACATAACCCATCACTTGAGAGCGAAAAACTTTGAAAGAATTCACTAACAAACCAACTTACTTCAGTAATTATCACATTCATGATCTGGAAAAGTTGAAGATGTGAGGAATCTTTGGGCACATTCAACTGCATAGAAATATACAACAAAGTTAATGCAAAGTTAAAGCAAAGTTAATATTATGGAATATAGAATAAATATTATTTTCTGTATTTTATTTTTAAAACCTACAAATTCTGGAAATGGAGGTAACAGACTGTCAGCTGATTTACAGACAGCAAACATTCATGGACAAAATAAATTTCACAGAAAGAGAACAGTGCTAGATACACAACAGGAAAGAAAGAATCAGAGGGGTGTCTGACTCAGTGGTTATAATGTGATCCAGGTTCTTCTTCTGCGATCATCCAGGAATGTAACTGCGTTTTGTCTGTTTACAGTATGGCTGCAATATTTGTGCCTTTCAGCAGACACATCTGACTTCTTCAGGCCTTTGTTGCCAAGATTAGCTTTTCTGGAGATCCAAATTCAGATCTTTGGTAAGATGGAATTTTCTTCTGAGAGCAAAGATAAATTTCCAGATTGCACAGTGCAGGGTAGGGGGCTGTGTTGTCTTGAGGTATGGCATCCGCCCTGAGTGCTGGAGGTCCCAGGTTCAAGCACCGGTGAAGGATTAGAAGTAAGACCGGACGCCCGTGTGTTGCGCAGGTAAAAAAAAATACCTTGGCAGCTGGAAATTTAAAAGAGTAACCTAACGGCGCTACCCGGGCAAAATTTTGAGTTTCAAATCTACCCAAAAATAATTCCAGGATCCTCTCCGGTGCAACGGAGTTTGTGCACTGCACTGAGATTCTTCAGACTCATGCTTGAGTTAGAAGTAGAATGGAGCACCTATGGGTTTTCACCCGTGTGCCATGATGTTGATGTGTCGACTAAATTAAACAGTACAGGGTGATTCCCCGTGTGGGTTCCGGGGCCCTATTATAGGTAAAACAAGAATAGACCCACTGCCTACCCAAAAGCATGTCCTAAGAGTCGACTAATTGGGAGCTTCCTTCGAAGTAGGAGTGCATCTGCCTGAGAGGCAAGGAACCAGCAGTTTGCATACAGATAACTCAGATCTGTAAAATGGATGCACACGCAACACTTAGGTTCTGGAACAGGACTGCAGTCCAAAAGTGGATGAACAACCAGAACTTTTCACCAGAGTTTACAGCTGGTGAACATGAAGAAGAAGTATAGGGTAACTGCATTAACCATGTGTCCGTTCAATTAAAGGACCAGTCTGTCCGTTCTGAGCTGCTACCTGAAGATTGACCACCCTCAGATTAAAACAAAATCTCTGAATGGCAAAACAAACAAGGCAGATCCCAGACATCCTGTTCATCCCTCAAAGAAGTTATAATAAGGGCACTTGTAAGCCTGGTGTAGCCTGCACTTCTGCATGGGTAAGGTCTAATGTGGCCCTAAACTAATAGGATAAATATAATTCATCTGTCTTGTATCACCCTAATGTGTCATAATAAGAGTAGTAAAGAATAATTTCGAAAAATGTATTAAATAGAAAATAAATACACTCACAGAAGCAAAGGGGAACTTTCCTGTTGCCAGCTGAAAAAGAAAATATAAATTATTTCTACATGTTATTTTTTCATCATATCTGTTACAGGTGTGGTAGAATTACACAAAGCTGCATATAACCAACAGAAGTACTAATAACAAAAGAGTAAAAAGTGACAATCCATTAGAAAAATTAACAATCACTGTTTCATTATAGTTTTATTTATAAGATTTTTTAGTGTTACTTATATTTTTACTTTACCCCTTTAAAAAAAATTACTTTAGAAAATACTGTTATTATTAAATAAATTTCATCTGATACAAACGTGTACGGGGAGTACAAGGACAATACCTCAAACAGTGTGACACCAAGGCTCCAAACCTCAGCAGGATTGCCATAAGATTCACCTTTTAATCTTTCTGGCTGAAATAAAAACCAAAAAAAATGAGGTTTGAGGTTTTGAACAACAGATAAACATCATGGCACACGGGTAGTAACCAATAAGTGCTCTGTTCTCCTTATTCAAGTCCTCCTAATTCAAGTCTGAGTCCGAAGAAGCTAAGCACAGTGCACAGGCTCTGTAGCACTGGCGAGGATCCTGAAATACTCTGGGTCGATTTTTAACTGAAAATTTTGCCCGGGAGCGCCATTGCGCCAATCTTTTTGATTTCCAACTGCCAAGGGATTTTTTACGTGCACAACAATGCACACGGGCGTCCCCGATTTCACTACCCAGAGACCAGGGGGAATTACTAGAAGTCCAAGTGCACATAAAGAAAATCCCAGCTCTTACCAGGGACTGAAACCAGAACCTCTAGCACTCGAGGCAGACACTATGTCTTGAGACCACGCAGCCCCCCCCCCCCCTAAAAATAATGAAATCAACCAGAAAAAAGGGAAAGGCAATCTTATCTAGGTTCAAAATCTGTTAACCAGCTCAGACAATTCCAAACCCTAACATCCAGAATAACTCAACTAAGATATTAGTATTAGAAGTCTACAGAAATTGTTTGTTTTATCTTTGGTATTATACTTGCCAATCTATTCGTAGGTTTTGTATTTCTTACCAACAAGGCAATAACTAAATGTGCTTATTTTACTATCTGTTTCATTGTGTACTACATGACCTGGCCTGAAATGAGTACCAGAAAATATTGTGGGACATAAAGCTAACTAATATGATGTTTGTTTTATCTTTGGAATTATACTTGCCATTTTATTCGTAGGTTTTGTTTTTCTTACCAACAAGGCAATAACTATGTGCTTATTTTACTATCTGTATCATTGTGTACTACATGACCTGGCCTGAAATGAGTACCAGAAAATATTGTGGGACATAAAGCTAACTAATGTGATGTTTGCTTTATCTTTGGAATTATACTTGCCATTTTATTTGTAGGTTTTGTTTTTCTTACCAACAAGGCAATAACTATGTGCTTATTTTACTATCTGTATCATTGTGTACTATATGACCTGGCCTGAAATGAGTACCAGAAAATATTGTGGGACATAAAGGTAACTAATATGATGTTGACCACATCAGCCATTTAGTGAAGACTTGTCTATACAAGTATGGTCTAGCACTATATGCCTGATGTGCTAAAGGCATGAAAAGAGGGTCTTTTACTTAATCTAGTTAGTGTCCTTTTGGATATTTTCTCCAGGTCATGCTGGTGTGTTGGGAAGTGAGCAGGCAGTTAGACTCGCCAGTTTTGCACCACTCTGTGGTGAAATGATGTATGACAGGCTAGACGTTGTGAAGGCCCTGGGGGAGCAAGTGAACAGTGCGGAGGCACAAACAGATCAGTTCAGTCTTAAGAGAATGGCACTGCGAGGAGTTACCAGAGGATCTGGCCAACGCTCAACATTCAAGGGAAAGGTGAGACGGATGTATAATCATAGTTACTGGTACCACTGGAATTGGAACTCTTTGCTTGTTGCTGAAGTTGAGGATGTCGCATTTAGGGAGTGTCCTGAGTGCTATGATCTGGATTCTTAATTCAAAATTCCACTTCATAATCACCTTGGGACAATGACATGTTTACTGATGAAGTAACACAGCAAAGAAATGCCGCCTGAAATCTAACTTAAAACCAGCATGGTGAGATGCCTAATAGCAGAGTGGATACAATATTTGTGCAGTCAAAACACTTCAGTAACATCGGGATTTAAAAGACACAAGAAATATGCGGAAAAAGAGCATCTTGAACCTGTTCTTAATGCAATTTATGCATAGTGGAACAAATAGATATGAGAACATTTACACAGAAAAGTAACGAGCTTTCAGACAATTGATCATCTTTTTCCTCCTATTTAAGATGTTTGAAAAAAAAAAAAAAAAAAAAGAGCAATAAAAGAAAAACTGAACATTAACTACAAATAACGAAAAACTGTGGCCTTAAAATAGAAGTAAGAAAAGTAAAGTAAATGACCCCTTTTCCACACCTTCAGATGTTTTAGGTATGTAGTGCTAGACTTAATTTTGAGGACTAAATGGCACTCACTGTGTGATATGGTCGACATCATCCCAGCCACCTTGACTTTCCAGGAGTTTATCTGATCTTCGAATCCATAGGTGAGCATCTAGCCGCTACACCATCATGGCTCAAAATACAGAGAGAAAGTGAAAAATTTCCCGTAGAAAAACCTAGCCTGACAATAAGCCCAAGCATGATTTTTTTTCTTCAGAATGCTTGTAATATAAGCCCTAATTCAGATGGCCAGATTTTGTTTTTCCAGTAAAATGCCAAATGGAATTAATCCTAAATATGTTCCAGAAGGAATGAAAGTAGACTGCTGTACACAAAAACATGAGATATCTGCTGAAAATAAACCCTACGATGTCATCTGAGAGCAGTTATTCCCAAACTGTGCCCCGGGGAGCTGCGACCTTTTCACAGGGGCGCCGCAAAATATTCGAAAATACACGAGTTTTTTTTTTTTTTTTAAATCTTTTACATATGAATAGTCACACTTTTACTTAGGTTAGGGCACCGTGGAAAAATTTAAACTGGAAAAAGGCGCCGTGACTAAGACAAGTTTGGGAAACACTGATCTAGAGCAAAAATTAATATAAACCTAGTCCTACTGTCAGGAAAACATGGTAGTAGCCGACATATCATATTGCCTACAGTCGTAATAATTAATATCCCAGATTACTTACTTTACTTTTACTTTTTCCTTCCACGTATGCCGCTAAGCGTTGTGGGGAGATGCAAGTTCCTGTCATAAGCAAGGCGGGCAGCATCTGATGTTCTGAGGCCATGCTTTTGGCAGGTTTCGGAGACCCCGTCAATCCACTGTTTCCTTGGTCTTCCTCTTGCCTTATATCCTGAGCTTCTTTGGTTGAAAATTTGTGATGTTATTTGGTCATTTTTCATCCTGGTTAGATGTCCAAACCATTTCATTCTTTGATGTTCTATGTAGTCTAAACATGGTGTAGTTTTGACAGTGTTTCTAATGTCTATGTTCTTTATCCTGTCTAGTCTGGTCTTATTCGCTGCTTTTCTTAGACATTTCATTTCACAGGCTTCTATTTTTCTTTCATGGGTCTTGTTGATTGTCCATGTCTGGCGCTGGTAGCAGAGTGTTGGAATGAAGATGGTGTTTATCAATTGTCTTTTGGTCTTCATGGTTATATCTGGATGTTTAAGCAGAGGTGATATGTGACAGCATTTGCTTTCTGTATTCTTGTTTCTATCTCTCTGTCCATTCCTCCATCCTCTGTAAATATACTGCCCAAGTATTTGAACTCTTTGGTTTGCTTGATTTTGGCACTTCCAACATTTATATTCAGTGGCCTGTGTGTTCTGCTGATCATAACTTCTGTTTTTTCTGTACTGATTCTCATATTATGTTGTAAACAGCTGTTGTTGAGAGTAGTCAGATGTTCCTGTAGATCATATTCATTTTGATACAGTATGCTTTGATCATCAGCAAAAAGTAATTCGTTTATAGCATACACGTCTGGGTTTGCTTCTACAGTGATCTTATCCATGTATGTTATGAAAAGTAATGGTGACAGTACACATCCTTGTCTGACACCAGTTGTGACTTTGAACCATTCAGAAAGACCACTAGATGTTCTTACTGCACTATCACTTTTTTCATAGAGGGCTCTGATGTTGTCTAATAATTGACCCTGCACTCCCTAATCGTCAAGAATTCTCCACAGCACATCTCTGTCCACACGGTCGAATGCCTTCTCTTGATCTACAAAGACCACGTTCAGCTCTTTATCGTATTCGAGTGTCTTTTCACAGACTTGTCTTAGTGCAAATATGGCATCAGTGCAACCTCGCCCTTTCCTGAAACCGAATTGTGCTTTACTCAGTAGAGGTTCAACCTTTGCTCTTATCCTACCTTCTAAGATCTTTGCATACATTTTCCCCACATGACTTAGTAAAGATATTCCTCTATAAGTTCCACATTCTCTCTTGTTTCCTTTTTTCTTCCAGATAGGTACTACAACTGATCTTTGCCAATCCACTGGTACCTTTCTCTCTGCCCATGCTCTATTGAAAATTCTCTCCAGCCAGGTGATCATAGTGTCCCCTCCAGCCTGGATGACTTCTGTTGTTATTCCGTCGATACCAGCTGCTTTGTGTCTTTTTACTTGTTTTGATAACTTTCTCTACCTCATCCCGCAGGATATGTGGTTCTAGATGATCTGGAGCCCTTGAATGGAATTCTGCTGTTTCATATACTCCCGACGGGTTCAAAAGTTCTTTAAAATATTCCTCCCATCTTTTTTTAATTTCTTTTTGGCTGAATAATGGTTTTCCATTTTTTATCATTTATGACTGATGCTGGATTGAAGCTTTCTTCTCTTAATCGCATCGCTTTTCACACTCTTATAAAAGTCTCTTGATGATTCTGTACATAGCTGTGTTAGGTGTTCACCATACTTTTTCCATGAATCCTCTTTGGATTTCTTTATAGTTCTCTTGGTGTCCTCTTCGAGTTAGTCTGTACCTAATGTAATCCTTTTTCGTCTTTTGTTTTTAACCATATTTGAAACATCTTCTTTTTATTTGACACTGCTTCTTTGACTTCTTCATTCCACCAAGCGGTACCCTTTTTCTTGCCTTTGCCCGTCTTTCTGGTACCCACACTTGTCTTTTAATATCTTCGTGATGGTTGATTTATAATAATCCCCATTCTTCTTCAATTCTTACTGGTTCCTTGGCAATATCTGCAAAAGCCTTTGTTATTTCTAGTTCAAATTCATGTTTGATATTCTCTTCCTCTAATTTCTTAGTGTTGATGATTTCTTCACGTTTCTGTTTATGTAGACTGTTTCTACTTGAGTTGCATATGTTCATAACTACTGGGCGATGGTCTGAATCCAGTCCCGCATTTGGGACAGCTTTTGAGTCTCTTACCTTCCTCTTCTGCCGTTGTCTGACTAGTATAAAATCAATTTGTGACGCTTGATCTAAGTTGTTCCACTTGTACCATTGATTAACATATGCAAAGAAAGTTATAACCTTATTTTCACCAACTAGCATATGATGACAGCATTAACAAACCTTACTTATTCAGCCACTTACCGCCATATAATAACAGGTGCCTAAATGTGTGATGGCTATAGATTTCTCAAGCTGGAGAATACAAAAGACATTTTTTTTAAATTTGCAAATTAAAATAAAGATACAAACAAAATGTTGCCCAATTAATTCCCTGAAATATTTCGCTGTATCTGATTATATGCATTACTACAAAGTTTACATATTTCACTGTATCTCATCATATGCATTACTACAGAGTTTACATATTTCGCTGTATCTCTTTCTATGCATTACTACAGAGTTTACATATTTCGCTGTATCTCTTTCTATGCATTACTACAGAGTTTACATATTTCGCTGTATCTCTTTCTATGCATTACTACAGAGTTTACATATTTCGCTGTATCTCTTTCTATGCATTACTACAGAGTTTACATATTTCGCTGTATCTCTTTCTATGCATTACTACAGAGTTTACATATTTAACTGTATCTCATCATATGCATTACTACAGAGTTTACATATTTCGCTGTATCTCTTTCTATGCATTACTACAGAGTTTACATATTTCGCTGTATCTCTTTCTATGCATTACTACAGAGTTTACATATTTCGCTGTATCTCTTTCTATGCATTACTACAGAGTTTACATATTTCGCTGTATCTCTTTCTATGCATTACTACAGAGTTTACATATTTCGCTGTATCTCTTTCTATGAATTACTACAGAGTTTACATATTTCGCTGTATCTCTTTCTATGCATTACTAAAGTGTTTACATATTTCGCTGTATCTCTTTCTATGCATTACTACAGAGTTTACATATTTCGCTGTATCTCTTTCTATGCATTACTACAGAGTTTACATATTTCGCTGTATCTCTTCCTATGTATTACTACAGAGTTTACATATTTCGCTGTATCTCTTTCTATGCATTACTACAGATTTGACATAAACATATAATTAAGCATACTGGAGAGTGCATAACATTTTTTTTTTGGTAATCTACTGAAAATATATTTTTAATAACCAGGAAGCAAACAACATATTGGCTGTACTCTCTGTTTTGGTTCTAGAGTCCCATTATAGGGAAAAAAGAATAGACCCCCTGCCTTCCTAACAAGCATTTTGTACAAGGCAACTAATTAGTGGAGTTTCCACTGAAGTCAGACTGCATCTGCATGAGAGGCGTAGAACACACAGTCTGCATACAAATAAGCCAGATCTGTAAGATGGATGCACATGCAAAAATCAAGTCCAGAAGTAGGCAACATCCAGAACTTTCCCCAGAGTTTACAGCTGGTGAACATTGAGAATTAGGAGGAGAAGAAAAACACTGCTTGTGAATGTCACTGCATCTTGTCAGATGCATTACTACAGAATTAAATATAGACATTTAAAATGAAGCACACTGGAGAAAGTAGCATAAACATTTATGAGAAATGAACAACACTAAAATAACAGCAAGAAGCTTGTTAATATTTACCTGTGTGCTGACACCAAAATCACAAAGTTTCACTTCACCAGCGGTGTTGACTAGAATGTTATATGGTTTGATATCTATCAGATAAACAAAATAGTGTACAATGACCAGATTGATTTTATGTGATCAACTTAACATAATGTTAAAAGGTTTGATATCTATCAGATTAAAAAAATAGTGTACAATGACCAGATTGATTTTACGTGATCAACTTAACATAATGTTAAAAGGTTTGATATCTATCAGATAAAGAAAATAGTGTACAATGACCAGATTGATTTTACGTGATCAACTTAACATAATGTTAAAAGGTTTGATATCTATCAGATAAAGAAAATAGTGTACAATGACCAGATTGATTTTACGTGATCAACTTAACATAATGTTAAAAGGTTTGATATCTATCAGATAAAGAAAATAGTGTACAATGACCAGATTGATTTTATGTGATCAACTTAACATAATGTTAAAAGGTTTAATATCTATCAGATAAAGAAAATAGTGTACAATGACTGGATTAATTTTACGTGATCAACTTAACAGAATGTTAAAAGGCTTGATATCTATCAGATAAGCAAAATGGTGTACAATGAGTGGATTAATTTTACGTGATCAACTTAACAGAATGTTAAAAGGCTTGATATCTATCAGATAAGCAAAATGGTGTACAATGAGTGGATTAATTTTACGTGATCAACTTAACATAATGTTAAAAGGTATGATATCTATCAGATAAGCAAAATAGTGTACAATGACTGGATTAATTTTAAGTGATCAACTTAACAGAATGTTAAAAGGTTTGATATCTATCAGATAAGCAAAATGGTGTACAATGAGTGGATTAATTTTTATTAATATGATCACAAGAATAGAATGTTACATGGTTTGATATCCATCAGAAAAGCACAATGGTGCACAATGATTTGATTAATTTTTGATTAAAATGACCCACTGAATAGAATGAAGTATGGTTTTATATCTATTAGATAAATGATATCTATTAGATGAAGGGTGTACAGAGATTAAATTAAAGTGATAAACTTAACAGAATGTTACAAGTTTTTATATCTATCATATAAGCAAACTAGTGTGACTGGATTGTTTTCTCAACATGATCAATTGAACAGAATGTTCGTCAATCAATCAGGTGCCGTCTCCAAGGTGAAAGTTGGCTGCAATGGATCTTTAACACGTTTTGTCTCTTGCCCTGGTTGTACAATTTCTTAGACTGCTACCCGTCCATCTGTTGATGTTGTCTTCCTACTTGTATCGTTGCCTACCTCTTACTCTCTTGCCTTCGACCTTTAGCACCGGTGAGGATCCTTAAATTCTTTGGGTAGATTTTTAAATCCAAATTTTGTCCGGGCAGTGCCGTTAGGCTACTTTTGTTCAATTTCCAAGTGCCTAGGGATTTTTTTCGTGTGTAACAATGCACACAGGCATCCAATCTCACTACCCAGAGACCAGAGGGAATTACCAAAGTCCAAGTACATGTGAAAAAATCCCAGCTCTTACCAGGCATTGAACCCGGAACCTATAGCACTCGAGGCGGACACCATGCCTTGAGACCACGCAGCTCTCTAATTTTTAAATGTAAGTATATCTACGAATTCACAATGACCACTGTAATAAAACACTTTTTCAAAAATCAATGATGCATATAATGTAAACATAGGTGTGAGGTCTAATGAAGCAAATTTTATGCAAATTAGCACTTACCTCTATGCAAAATTTTCAAGTCCCACATGTACAACATTCCTTCCACAACACATAGGCTGATCTGACCTAACACTCTTTCAGAAACTGGCATGTATCTATCTAAAGATCCACCTAAAAATAATAGTGAAACCAAAAAAATATATGTGAAATCTTTCGTTACCAAGAACCTCATGTTTATCAGAGCTGCCTAACATGCTATGCTTATTATTATTATTACTACATTATTATTATCTTCTTCTTCTTAAAGACCATGACAAGTGCCTTTGGTAGTCATGTATATCCACAACTTTTTATCTCATGTACTTTCAATCAACTCTGACACAGATGATCCTCCAGGCCATGATGTCAAACTGTCCAGCCTCTTCTCCCTCAATCTCCCTCTGCCTCATTTCCCCTCCAACTTTCCTGTCACAATGTGTTCCAGCTTTCTCCTTCCCATTTTATGACCATAGAATGATTATTTGTATAATATGATGCCCCTTGTACCTCATTGAGCTGTAGCTTGAACCCACCCTATCCCAATAAGAGGAGTGACCAGGGGATCTGGCTGATGCTCAACACTCAAGGGAGAGGCGAGACAGACATACAATCAGACTGTTACTGGTACTATCGGAATTGGAACTCCATGCTTGCTGCTGAAGATTGGGACGGAGTGATCTGATGTTGTTTCTCGACTCATAACATTTCAATAATTACTTTAGCTCCTCTTGTCCCACAATATTATTATTTGGACCCCTTCATACACAAAAATTTATTATTTAAAGCCTTAGCTAATTAGGAAAAGAGGAGCTGAGTTAAGAGACACACCAGGGACTGAAAGTGTTACTATCATGAGAGTTAAATAAAACCCATACAACAGAGACACATTTCCTCACTGAGCTATTACATAAATAATACAGCAATGGTGAAAGATACACAGTTTAAAATGGAAACATTAGGAACTCTTTAATGGCATTTAAATTAAAGAGAAAACGGTTAGCTGGGCATAATTTAACAAATTCCCCATGTGGGTTCTGGGTCTGTCATGAAATGACCATGAGCCCCATGGGCCAGAAAGTTTTAGAATCATTGTTGTCAAATTTTGTTTGGTAACTGTGTGACATTATCAGTACATTACCATCATTTATCAGGAATTCTGTACTTCCGCTTGGTGAAATAGCGTGTATTTGAAAATTAATTTTTATTACTTCATAATGAATTACATACATATTCGAACTTATATGAAACCTTGGGAGCTAAAGTAAATAACTATTTTCTCTTATTAGGTAAAGAACCTATAAATATAAGGAGTAAAATGTGCAATGTGTTGTTGTCAATGGCAACCGCAGATGACATTGGCGGCTAACTGTCGTCTGAATGTTAGATCACCATTCTGGAAGAAAGGCTGTTGGAGGCTGGAAGCCACTCCAATTGTGTGTAAATTTTAAGCTAAAGCATGTTTTTCATGGATTTAGTTTATTCAAATATGCAGGTAAGATGCTTACTTAAATACTAGATTATGTGGCAGATTGGTGCAGATTGAATACATCGGTAAGTGTGATTCTTGTCTTGGAAACTATTGGGAAATGGTTCACCCCTTTGTCAGGGCAGAATGACCTTTAGGTATAATAGTTCTGACATTTCTTCTCGGCTACTACCTTGGTCCGGAATAAGACAGGCAACCTGGATTATTCGTTCTTGACTGGCATGACTTATCTTGAAGTCATTTGTCAGGAGAATGGACTGATTATCTTTTGTCACTCCAGATGAAAAAAAAGAGGCTTTGTGAATGCATGGCTCAGGTGGGGATCGTTGATCATCTTCACGATTGTACCATCCTTGCTCCTACCAATAAATGCTTCTACTGGATGTTTGGAATGTCACTACCACTTTTCATATCCTTGCTTAATGGTGCACATGCTTGATCTACTGCTATAAATCATACCTGTATCTGCTTTTTATATGTATAAAATGTGGATAGTTATTATCTTATATTTTGCTGTGAGTCATAGTTATTATCTTTTATTTTGCTGTGTGCATCTCATTCTCTGATCAGAGAGCATACATGGGGGCAATATTAAAGTTGGAGGAAGTCAGGCTGGACCAGAATAACAATAGAATGGAGTCGGTTTTCAAATGTCTATGTCGTCTCATTCACTGGAGGTGTTTCTGGTTACTGAGAGCTTAGAGTGATACCCCTTGAGACCAATAGACAAGCCACCAGAAAACATCATACCTTCACTGAGTGTTGGGTTTCAGTACTTAATTTACTGAAATAACAACCCATCATGAGACACCATTATGTTTTATTTGCACCAGTACTTGGAGCCTCATTTAGGTGAATAAACCCACTGCCCCAGTAACAAGCATGTTGTAGGAGGCGACTGATTAGGGGTATTTCTTTCAAAGTTGGAGTGCATCTGGCTTAATGACGAGGAACCAACAGTTTGCATACAAATAAGCAAGAGCTGTAAAATGAATGTGCACGCAAAACTCAAGTTCTGAAAAAAGACCAAAGTAAGAAGTGGACAAACAACCAGAACTTTTTACCAGAATGTACAGCCGGTGAATGCTAAGAAGAAGAAGAAAAAGAATAATAATAATTTAACAAATTGCATATGTGATTAAAAGAAAAAAACTATTCAAATTCACATAACCTAGACCCCTGATTTGTCAATAATTTTTTTAAATGGCCAAACAGATTTAAGTGAATTGCAACTGAAGGTGTACTTCTTCTTCTTCTTCCTTTGTACACCTGAAATAAGTTGTCTATTTCAGCAATTTTGTCTCTTGTATAAATTTCACTGTCGTTGTTAGTTCATTCAGTGGTCCATAGAGTTTATGTTCCACTGTTATTCTTTCTGGCAAAAAGGTTTGCCTTAATGTGTCAAATTCGGTGCAGTCATGGAGTACATGCTCTGCTGTCTGGGGCACCTTTCCACAGGTGCACATGGCTGATACGCCTATCTTGAATTTTGTGTACATGTGGTTACGTAATTAGTTGTGCCCTATTCTGAGGCGGAGGAAAATGACTTGCTCTGATCTGTCCATAATAAAATACGAAGGTGTACTTTTATTGCTACGAATCATTCAGTGTTCTTACCTGAACTTTCATGCCTTCTTTCAGATTATGCAGAACAACCATTGTATATTTATATGTAATCTCTCAACTTCAGCTATCGCTTAAATTTAAAGATGTTGTGATGATACAATACATGAAAAATACTAGCTCATTTTTGTTCTTTTATTCTATCTCAAAATTAATATTTCCCCCACTTCCATACAAAATATTTTTTGTGCATTATATATTTTTTCAACTCTGTCAAAATCTTAGGCTTGTCCCACTATTCAGTATGTTTCACAACTACTTACCATCCATATACTCTGTACAGATAGAAATGGTGTTTTCCAGAAAGAAGGCACCAAAGAATGATATGATCATGCGAGAATTACACTGAAACAAAAGGATATAACATTATCAAACACAATATCATTTCCTTTATAACTAATACAATAATTATTTCTTAGAATTACATTATAGCGCATGGTATTCATAATGAAACACTGGAAGACTTTTACTGCATTTAAAACAAAACAAAAAATTACAAAAAATTAAGCTGCTCCAGTGTAGTTACATTTAAAAAGATATGAGACATAATACAGATCATAAGCTACAATTAATACATAAATGAAACAATCTCATTTTGCTCAGCATCGTTATATGTATTCAAAATACTTAATAACTGCATACAATTTTACATGCTTTACAAATATGTAAAATATTTATCACACTAAGCACATTTAGTGGCAGCTAAGTAATTATGATACCACTCTTTCAGATTTCACAACATTTGGACACAATTTTATTAACCATTTTAGGTTAAAATAAATGACCATTATCCATTTGTCAAGGGAGCAAAAGGATTTCATACTGTATTTCTTTAAAAAAAAAAAACATAATGCATTAGCACTGGTAAATAACTGCAACAGCTTGAAAAATAAATCCAATACTTGGGTAGCAAACCTGCATCACAGCTTCAGTGACACGAATGAAGTGTCCAGAATTGCTGTAATAAAATATGATTCAAATCCATTTAGGTGTCTGAAATTAAACTTCTTCACCGGCTGTAAACTCTTTCAAAAAATTCTGGTGGTTCGTCCATTTCTGGGCTCTATTCTTGTCCTAGAAGTTAAGTTTTGCATGCACGTACATTTTACAGATTGATCTCACTTTTTCACTTATTTTTGTGCAGACTATTGGTTACTCAGCTCTCAGGGGTGCATCCTGACTTTGAAGAAAACACCCCAAATTAGACAATTTTTACACCTGCTTGTTAGAGGCAGTGGGTCTAACCCCCCCCCCCCCCCCCCCCCCCTCGGAACTCACACAGGAATGAATTTAGTCAAAATGAAGTGGAGGACCTCTTGCCATGCCATAAACCATATTGCGTATATTATGATATTTGTACATATAATATATTGGTATATTATGCACATATTGCGAATTATGGAAAATATTCTTTACCCCTAAGCTAAAGGCGCTAGTGATAGATAATGTGGTTAATTTCATGCTGGCTGCCTTAGCTTGCCAGAATATTTCTTGATACTCATTTTGAGCCAGGTCAAAATGAAGAACCAAATCAAATTTTTTTTTTAAATTGTTGCCTGAAAGGAAATTCAAATATAAGAACACAAGGCCAACAGGCAAGTGTGCAAGACATTTTACTCTATGGAAGCAGTACCTGTTTGGAATTACCATAACAAAATTGTTATCTATTTTTGTATAATCTGAAGAAATGGAGACTAATGACAGCTTAGTTTAATCTGGCAGGGAAGCAAATTACTTATTATGGTACAGCTTATCATGATCTCCTTAAATGGTAAGTGTGATAAATGGATGATATTCTATAATAAAACCATATAAAATACATTACTTTATAAAGAATTTCCAATTCAGATATGATCTGTTTTTGTATTGTGACCGAAATATCAAGTTCAATCTCCTACAGAAAAGGGGGAAAAAAGACAATAATTAAAACATCATCCTACCCTTTCAATCAACAGATACATTTTTAATAGGTATATATCAAAGAAGTTTGGCTAATAAACAGCATCTTGTCTCAGAATCTGAATTATTTTGGTCATATAAAGCACCATGGTGGATTGGAAAAAATAATAGCAGAAGGTATGGTACCAGGAAGGAGGGGCAGGGGCAAAAAAAACCATAAGATGGGCACATGATACAAGTGACATGATACAAGGCTGCTAAAGTTGAGGATAGGGCACTTTTGGGAATGTCCCATGAGCTGTGATGTCAATTCCTAACTCAACACTCAAAGTGTGCCAAACTGTACATTTAAAGTTAATAGTGCTATTTTGGGACTTACAACATATTGAATTATCTCAGCATATGAATAATATCAGATGAAAGATGTATAACAGAGATAAAGCACAGAGCTTTTAGTGAACAAAACAATGTTTGCCCGTGGTGAATGTAAATAATGCAAACATAAACAATACATCACATAATTTACTAATATGACAACAGACAACATGATATGTGTATTTTGCTTGAAAGGATTTATGTTTATGTTAATGTGAATACTACTACTTCACCCGACTGATACAGTGAAATATGCTAAGTAATAAAACGTCCAATGTATTGTTTATATCCGCAATACTTAAGCTGGCAAATAAGCCAATAATTTCTCGAGATATCAGAGACGTGGTTTACAGAAGAGTGCTTCAAATTCCTTAGACACACTGCCAGACGCAATTACATTATAAGTCTGCCTCATTTATCTTCTTCTTCTTCTTGGCGCTCACCAGCTGTAAACTCTGGTGGAAAGTTGTGGTTGTTCATCCACTTCTGGATTGCAGTCCTGTTACAGAACCTGAGTGTTGCTTGTGATTCTGTTTTACAGATCTGACTCATTTGTTTGCAGACTGCTGGTTCCTTGCCTCTCAGGCAAGTGCACTCAAACTTTGAAGGAAGCTCCGAATTAGTCGACTCTTACTAAATGCTTTTGGGCAGGCAGTGGGCCTATTCTTGTTTTCCCTATAACAGGGCCCCAGAGCCCACTCAGGGACCTCATTTATCTAAATGAACTTTAAATGAAATACGACAAACAGAACTGTTGCAGGTATTTCTAGTATCATTTTTCAAAATACATTTTTCTTGTAAAACATGTTCAAGAAGTTAATTGATCTACCTTGACTGCCATTTGTTTCCCAGAAGTTATGTGTACAGCTCTGTAAAGATATAACAATCAGGAAGATGAACTGACAGTAAAAACATTACCATACATTTTAAAATCAATTTCACGTTATGTACTCCAAATTCTATGATTTTAGAACAATGGTCTCCAGCCTGGGGGACAGCAAGCAATTTTTTAATTTACCCATTTGCACTCGGGTTAATCAGGATATTCAGGGTTAACAGTCATGAAGACAAAACTGCTTTACTAGCTTCACGTAGACAGTGATCTCCATTGTGCCAAGTAAAATACCAGATGAAAAATAGCATGTATCATCAAGATAAAATAGTGTCAACCATTGCATTGATCTTCTGACACTAAACTACCAGTTGGTGATTGCTTCTTTTATTATTTGGGAAAAGTGGAGAGACACTAAAGACATTAGTTAGTTAGTTAGTTAGTCTTTCCTCTTGTGTCGAGTGCGGCACATAGGGCAGAGGTCATGACTCTCCATGCATGGCGGTTCGTTGCAATCTGTTGTAGGTCTTGGATGTTTGAGTGGCCCATGAGCGAGCCTTCCCTGATGATAGTTCTACGTAGAGTTTCCCTTGGTCCTCCACGAGATCTTTTCCCCTGTGGTGTCCAAATGAGGGCTTTGTAAGGAAGTCTTGATTTATCCATTCTATCCAAATGAGGGCTTGGGAAGGAAGTCTTGATTTATCCATTCTAAGGGCGTGGCCGACATAGTTCCAGCGGTGTTTTCGTATAAAATTAGACACATACTCTTGCCTGGATTCTTGCCTTATTTGTGTATTGGTTCGGAAATCTGACCATTTGAAAGACCATCTGACTAAAGACATGGCAAAAGTTAAATGCATTCAAAAACAAAAGCCTGAGTATACTTCACAGGTACTTCATGTGTCATTTTGAACAGCAAAAATGATCATGTTCCTCAATTAAAAGATCTGTACTTATGTTTCTGATAAGTCTGATGATTTTATTGTCTTACAAGTCACTCTGAAATACAATCCTGAATTTTTTTCTTCTATGAACTTCTGACTAACACCCCCAGTCTTCTTATCTGCCACAACTTTCTCCAATTTTTAATAACTTGCCCAGCTACTGGAAGTGCTCTGGATAGATGTTTGCCTGCCAGACTGAATCTTATTCTTTTTCTTCCTCTGCTGTCTACTCCTCAATGGAGCATAGGCCCTCCAGCAACTCATGCCAAGATATTCTATACTTCGCTATTTCATGCCACTCACCCAGTGTCGTCTTTTTAATTTCGCTCTCTAGCTCCCTTCTGCATGTGTTCTCAAAGTGTGTCCTATCCAACACCAGCATCTTGTCTTCACCTCTTGGTGCACTGGAACTTGTTTAATTATCTCCCAGAGCTCAACATTAGTGATTCTATCACAACATTCAATTCACTGTATTCTGAGCAGGCACCAGTTAATTAATGTTTGCATTTTTTTAAACTTATTTTTTTTTAGTTGTTCCTCATGTGTCAGCTCTACATCGCAATGAGGCAAATTTGTATAATTCACCTGGGATAACCCAGCCTAAAACCGATACCAGGAAATGTCCTGTGAAGTAAAGGCAGTCTGCATGATGATCATATCACCCACAGAATGCCCCTGGTAAAAAAATATGGATCTAGAACCCTATACCTAATGGCATGAAAAAAGTTCATTAATTTTTTTCTCCATGAACTACATGTAGTTGGCCACTATATATTCACACAAAGCTACAATGACACTCATTTAATATAAAAAACTAAATAAAAGGTAAGCTATTACTGTGAAGTACACACCTGTAAACTCGGCCTCCATTTCCTTTCCCTACCAGCTCTACATAACGAAGTGATTCCTTGGTAATCCATCCATGGCTTAAGATGCTCTGAAAGCCAACCTCAGCTGGACTGTAGCATAAATAACAATAAACACAGATATATTTTTCATATTAGGAAAACCTTGTACTGTCAGGACTTTTCAGAACTTCAGAAGAGAAAAAATACTATGCATACCACTGCAAGTAAGATAAGCCCAATTTCCACACAATTATAAATGCTGGGATACAGTGCTGGTGATTTTTATAATATGTGTAAAGAAAAAGGGCTAGCATTTCTCATAACATGACAGCATATGTGTGGTCAACTTTAACCCTGCAACCGCTGTCGACTGCACCATGTTTGTAAGTGAGTATGCTAACTACAACCACAACCTTGTCGCAAGTTAAAAGCAAATTATGATTTCAT